GGGCCTCGCGCCTCTGTCAGGCTTGCCGCGGGGCCCGCCCTCTCCGCGCCTCTCCTCGACTTCCATTGGTGCAGTCGGAGAGTGGCCGAGAGCCTGGCTGCCGATTGGGTACACGACCTGTCACTTCCCGCGCGGCCACTCCGAGGTTTGGTTGAGACTGCAGGTGGCGGCAGAGGTGCCTCAGATGCTGCTAGGAGGGGCGGAGGAGACTTAATCGCCACCCTGCGTCCAAAAATGGGAACTGCATCTCCGGCGACAGACACCTGCCTGCAGGTTCTATTGACCCTGGGTCCTGCATCTGACACCTGCTGGCAGCCTCCCCCTCACCTTCGCATCACTCCAGAACCAAAAGCCAAGCCCTGCAATTTCTCCGAATTCTCAGGCCAGTGCAATAGAGAGGCAACTCTCCCAGATGAGCTCCTTTTGAATCACCTTGAACACAGCCCCTGGTCTACATCTTACTGAAATGGTCTCAGCATAATGCTCCCCCTCAAAGAGGAAACGGTCACAAAATTTTAAGACTCCAACAAAGCAAAGCATGATTTAGCTGATCTGTCCTTTGCTGGAAAGATCACAAGCTTGACTATAGCCTTTTTTTAAAAAAAGCAATTGTTTGTTTGTTTTTTTATTACCACGGGGAAAGAAATCAACACTGCGATCAGAATGAAAGCCCTAAAAGGAATGTGTTGCATTTTGAACGACATAAACAGAATTGATTCCTGAGTGTGTGCTAACCATTCTGTTCTGATACTGCAGATGATAGTAAGTTTTACACTAATCAACTTTAAAATAAATTTCACTGCATTTTGGCAGAACTACTCCTGAAAAACTACCAGCATACATGAGCACAAGAAATACTAGTTACCTTTTCTTTAGTAAGGGCATCCTTGAAAATAAGGCATAGTGCAATGATATAAAATTCTGTCTTTAAGGTAATGCGTCCTCACTACATGTCTATTCCTGTAAACAGGTTGGGCAGACGGAGCATCCCCATGCAGTTGGAAGGAGGCATAAAATATTTTCATGAGCCGCTTCTATTTTATCAGAACACGTTTATGCATGAATAACGTGACAGCCCAAAGTAGTACACAACAACAACGTATAGGAGACAAACTTCTCCCTCATCTCCATAAATGACACAATCGAAGATACTAGCAGGCAAGGTAGACGTGCCTGTTATCCCAGCACTCTAGGACGCTGAGACAGGATTGAGAGTTTAAGCCCAACTTAGGCAAATTAGCACGATCCTGTCTCAAAATAAAAAACAAAAGGGTTGGGGATGTAGCTATGAAGATCCTAGGTTCAATTCCCAATACGGGTGGTGGTGGTAGGGTTTTAAAGTTTTTCATAAAATCAAATAATATATGTTGTAAAAGGCTGTCCTTCATTCTAAGGTAGTTCTTTTGATGATAAAAAGAACTTCCTTTATGAAGTAATAATGACAGTAAATTATAGTGGACTTATTTTTTTTGGTACCAGGGATCAAACTCATGCAGGACCTTGTGCTTATGAGGCAGGTGAGATGCCACTGAGCTAAATTCTGGGCCCTTGTAGTGAATTTTTTTCTTGGTGCTGAGGACCAAATCCAGGTCCTCACACGTTAGGCAAGCACTTTACCACTAAGCTACATAACTGCAGTCCTATTGTACTTTGGGACTTTTTTTTAAATGGCCCTCACTAGGGGGGAACAAAAGAGGTATCAAAACCTGTTTACCCAAATGTTTACTGAAACCCTAGTCACCAAACCACAAATCATCTCAATCCTGTTTCCACCATATAATAAACCCAGAAAAGATAATTATTCCAGAATAACTTGAGAGACAGGAAGGGGAAAAGGTGAAACAAAAGTAGTAAGAGTCCTGATGAGAAGGATCAAGTCATTAGGGAAGTAATTTTGAAGTCACTCATTACATTTCTTAAAGTATTGGTTAAAATCCCCTGGCTAATTTCCAATGTTTCCCAAGAGTCAATCTCCCCGATACATGGTAGAGACTCTCACTCTGCCAAAAGAACTACAAGGGTTTTGTTTTGCAGTACTGGAGATAGAATCCAGAGCCTATGCCCTGAACTACATCCCCAACGCTTGTTTGTTTTATATCATTGTTTTGCTAAATTTCTAAACTGCCCAGGCTGGTCTCAAACTTGCAATCCTCCTGCCTCAGCCTCCCAGAGTGCTGAAATCACAGGCCTGAACTCAGCTATCCATTCTTATATAGCATCTTTCCAAAAACTACCAAGTCTTCATGTCACGTCCAAATCCAAGTTCAGTTTCTGCAATTTTACTCTGTGAAATAATGGATAGCCCATCATTCCAGGCCCATTTCACACTTCATCTCTTTACTTCTACCCCTAGTAACTCTATCTTCCATCAGACATTTCCCTCTCCAACTCTGCAGTACTTATAAAAACTAATCAGCTATTACGGTTCACTTTGGACTATTCTTACTTCCCAACCACCCTGAATTTATGTAGAGTGTGAATCCTCAGTAATGGCACCTTTGAAAAAAAAAAAAAGGCACCTTTGAGGAAGTATTGGGTACTTCGCTATTCTTAGTATGGAGTTCAACCCGATATAGTATTATTTTAGACAGAGAAGCTTAAGATTCAGAGGATACAATAGGAAGTATTGTACTTCGCTATTCTTAGTATGGAGTTCAACCCGATATAGTATTATTTTAGACAGAGAAGCTTAAGATTCAGAGGATACAATTTGCTCAGGGTCACAGTTACAAAAACTCATATCGCTTAATAGGTTTAACATCTACTCTGGTGGGCACAGTAGGGGTTTAGGTGCCGGCTCTTCTATGCAACTGTGGACAAGTCACCTTTCCTCTCTACCCCTATTTCCTCATCTGGAGATAAGGAAAAATAAAAAAGGCCACAGAGGCCCATAGTAAGGCTACCAAACAACAGGGCCTGAACAGCATTGAGCTAACTGCTTAATCCAGAAATCTTTTCTATACCACTACTTTTAAGTCTTGCTAGATTGCCCACACACGGCTCAAATTTGTGATCCTTCTGCCTCAGATTCCCAAAGTGTTGGGATGACAGAATGTGCCACTGTACCTGGCCCCACTGCCTTTTATAGGGGGGAAGGGAATACTGGGGATCAAACCCAGGGGTACCTTACCATGGAGCCACGTCCTAGCCTTTAAAAATTTTTTAATCTTTTTTTTTTTTTTTAGATAGACTCATGGTAAACTGCCCAGGCTGGTCTGGAACTTGAGGTCCTTTTGCCTCAGTTCCCCACTGGGGTAATAGGCACACACTACCCAGCTCCCACTGTCGTTTACACATAAAACCAAAGTGCTGAGATCCATAGTGGGTGCCCAGGGAGTGAGTGAAACACACAACAGGTAGTAATTTTTTTTGTTGTTGACACACTCCAAAGAAATCTATAAGATTTATGCATTTCAGAATTATGAAAACATGAATAACCTAGGCCAGGTAAGTTTCCTGTGATGAGGGAAAGAAAGGCACATATTCATCAAGTGATTAACACGGAAAAAGAAAACAAACAGGGAATCTAAGGTGTTGGCATCATATTAGGGGACTTCCCAATTTTTTTGTTTTTTATTACTATGATTCATCAGCATTACTGCACACTGTACATACACAGTTGAAAGTTATTATGGTCTTATGAAGCAGGGCTCTGAGCAGTGGACCCAGGTCATTAACTATTGCTTTTAAGAAACTGGAACACTCAGCCCAAAGTCAAATGCAAAACAAAAACAAAGTTTCATTTTTCTTTACCAGTCAAGCAACCACATGAAGGAATAAGCATTTTTTTAATCTTTGTTATATAAAATGCTAACTTGTAAGGACATACTACAGACTATGCATTAGATAAAATTATTTTTGACAAACTTCCTATAATCTTTTTATTAATTTACAGAGGGAACATAGCACCTTTCATCCAAAGAACTGAAGGTGCTTTACAAACATTAGCATTTAAAAAACAATTACATTTAAAAATCTGGATTCTTGCTGTTAAATCTGACAATTTTCTGGAAGCTGACAGAAAGCAAATCTATTTCCGACAATGACAGAGGCTCTGGAAGAGTCCTGATTTGCTTTCACAATATAGGCATTTTCCAAAACCTGGTGCTGGGTTTACAAAGCAAAAAAACACACACATATCTCAATGCGATGAACAATATTCCAAATCTTATTTCAAAAGAAAAACTCAAGGTTTAAGACGTCAAAATCTTCCAACAGTTCTAGCCATCCAGGAGGAATAGGAGCTGATTGGTGCAGGTGGCACATTAGATGTACTCTTGATCCAGTCTTGGCAGGATCACACCCAATGGACCACATTTAAAGGAGTGAGATGTGTCAAGGCGATACAGTAACCTACAAAAGCTAGCCAAGAGCAATTCAGCCAAGTTAAGGAAAGGGAGTAAATGGCAATTCAAAGTAGACAGTTCTCACTAGAGCCTAGGACACTTTATTAGAAACCAAGTATATCATAGCCAAATAAAAATAGTTCTTACCCCCATTAATACAACATAAGGGAATTTACATTCAGCCTAGATACAGGGAGTAATAGATCCTCCTCCTCCAAATCTATGACTTGCAAGTATCTCCCACCACATGATTACTCTATATGATACATAGCCCTTATTTATTAGAGGGATCTAAATATTCCTTTTAGGCTTACAAAATCCAATACATTCACTCTCTCTTCCCTTTAAATATAGTAAAATCTATTTTCTTTCCATGCAAAAAGCCATTATTCAGTTGGGAAGAAATTAAGCAAAACAGAGATGGCAGTTAAGGAATGGACAGAATATTATTGGCACACGCCCAGATAGTGACAAACAAATGCAGTCTGCTATGACAAAAAAAAAAAAGGTCACATTACAGAGAGAACGAAAACAGCCACATAAAACTAAGCGAAGGAGTGTCAAATGGAAAGACAGGCCTGAGGGTTACTGGTTTATTCATACAACTCAAAAGTAGTTAAGGAAAAACACTTAAATACAATTTATGGTAACAGGAAAACAAATACTGCAGAGAGCTGTTCGAAGACCACACCAAGTTGTCTGCATCATTAGTTTCCAGTGTTTCACAATTAGTAAGATACATAGCTACATATCCCTGTGAGATAAAAATACCTTTCCACCTGAATTACACTGGTCAAGGCAGCAACACAGAGCTACAGACCCAACGTTAGTTCAAGTTTGCAGCAAATATCTCAGCCGCTTCTTTCACATAGCTATACAATTAAAAGTTGTACAAGGATCTGAGTGGTTGGGGAAAAATAAAATCAAAACAGTATTGTGCTCATTCAGTAAAAGAAAACCCTGATGAAAAATTATGTGCCAAGAAGCTTAGACTAAGATTTTTATTGCATTTTTAGGTAACCTGGAAGTTTTTATCCTGAAGGGGAAAAGTTGGTTTTCAAAACTACCTGAACAGATGCTAAAGTGCTTTATTAATTGGCTGGCTTCACACAGATTTCCTGGGATGACAAAAATTAATTATAGTAGTAAAGGGATACCGACTATATCACAAAATGGTACATTCCAACATCATTTATGACCACAGCCATAAGAGATACTGGAACACTTGTCCTTATTAAGTGGACAATTGCATATAAAGAACTGATCATCACAACCCTTTGGATATTCAAATTACACAAAGCCAAAATAGGGTATCACAGACTTTTACAAAAAAAGAAGTCTGTTTCTTTCTACACTTTAAATAACCTGCTTCAGATTACAGTTCACAAATACAAGTCCAGGCTTTTCAACCTTTCCAGTTGCAGTTAAAAAATGAACACTTTCTAAAAGTTAAGGTCAAGTGTTATAGCAAGAAAAGAACGATTCCTATTGAAAAGTATTTTTACTTAATGATATTCATGATAGATTGTAAACTGGATTGATCACATTCTACTCAACTGGTATCAAATGAACACATCAGCATTATAAGTATTAAATGTTTTTTCTATTACTATAGAGGATATAAACCAAAACATTAATATGGCAGTTACGTTCTTTAGGCACAGTTTAGTGATTTTTTTAAAAAATAAATACTACTGGATTCAACTGAAATTTTAAATTTCATAACTAAAGGATCAAGAATTCTGGTTAGGGAAAAAAGAAAAAGTAATTTTAAGATAACAACGTAAGCTGTTTAAAAGTTCTAACACTTAACCTATCTGGGTTTTAAGATTATTTTATTAAAAAATACAAGGAATCTAAAAAAAGATCAATACAATTTTCATAATGTACAAAGTCATAACCTGTAGCAATTTTTAACTAAATTTAAAAACACAACAAGGAGGGCAGCCCTTTAGACCAATTTATTTTATATCCTTTTAAAATATCATCCAACAAAGAACAATGAAGTTTACAGCTGGGACAGGTATACATAACTTGAGGCATCTCTAGTCCATCGTGCCCACTGAATAACAACTTTGCTGCTGAAATTTCTTAAAACTTACCAACTAAAACAAAGGCTGAATGATACAAAAGGAGGAGTATTTCGGTGTAAATGTCAATTAGCTTTTTTAAAAAAGGAAACACATTCTGTTTCCCCAGACCAGTAAATAAGCAAGAGCTACATGCAGCAGTGTGAGTATTAAGACATTTCTCAAGTCTTCTCAAATGAGTCCAAGGTGGGGACGGGATCGGGGAGGAAACTGATAGAAAAACATTGCTATAGACACCATGACAAACAATAAATTTAGATAATTTAAAATTTAAAAAAAAAGGCAAGAGGCAGCATTTCAGCAGCAAAGTGCTCAATAAAAGTATATCGTAGAGGGTACAAGAAAGATGGGGTAAGAGGGCAGAAAAATGGGTCAGCAGGATGGGTGAAGGCCTCAAAGGAAATACGGCGTCGTCGTTCTGGGAGGAATAACACGTTCTGAATCTGGAACTGCCCGGAATAACTTTGGTTCTCTTGTATTCACATCTTTGAAGACCATGATGGAAGCAATATTTCCACAACGATAGCAGTAGTTAGGAGCAGACCACACTGTGACCAGCTTCTCATCAAACATAAACTTATAACCTTCGTGAACAAGCTGATGTGCTCTGCAGATGAGTTTTAAGTTGTTGATATGAACAAACTGCAATTTAGAAAGATTTTGTAAGTATTCAGCACATTTTTAAATGACCTACATATATAAAAGAAACCATTTACATGAAGTACCAAATCTTGATATTACTAGATTTCTCATGATTTTAGAACCTAGTCTATAATTTTTAATTGTACCGGGGATCGAGAACCTATTCTATAATTATTCCCAATAACTTCAGTAAGTTTAGGCAAACAATTGCTTTGCGCCAAGTCAATTAATAGCGCCATAGAAACTGTGCTGCCACACATTACAGGCATATATGTCTGTAATTCCAGCACCTTGGGAGGCAGGAGGATGTCAATTTGGACAATTTAGCAAGACCCTGTCTTAAAAAAATAAAAATAAAAAAGAAAGACGGAGAGGGAGAGGGAGACAAAGAGGGAAAGGGAGAGGGAAAAGGAAAAGGAAGGAAAGGAAATCAAAGAAACTGTACAGTCATATAATTAGAATTTTCTGAACTAGGTGCTATGTCACAGGCCTACAGTCCCAGCTAAATGGAAGGCTGAGACAGGAAGACTGGCGGAGCCCTTGAATTTGAGATCAACATTGGCAACATAGCAAGACCTCATCTCAAAACCAAAAGAGAGCTAGGATGGTGGCACACATCTGTTGTCAGTACTGGGAAGGCTAAGATTGGATGATTCTAAGTTCAAGGGCAGCCTGGACTATACAGTGAGATCCTGTCTCAAAAAAACTAAACTAAACTAAACCAACTGAAAGAGAGAAGAGATGGGAAGAGAAGAGGGCAGAGGAAGAAAGGGAAGGGAAGAAAGCTATAGGCAGACATTTTTAGACAAAAACCATTTCAAAAGTACTATCACATATTAAAAACTTGTTTTTTATGGATTAATAAAGATTTCGCTATTAATTTATTGAGGCTTCAGTATGTGCAGTTCTTGCAGTAATTCTAAAAGAGATTTACTGTCCTTTTTGCAACTTAAGGATAAGATAGCTCCAAATGAATAAATAACTTACCTAAGTAAAGGTATGTCAATGGGATCAAATTCTGGTTCTCTGAGTCCATCATGCTGGAACATTTCACAATAGAATGTCTCTTTGTGTATGTATGTGGTTGTTTTTGTTTTGTTTTCTGTTTTACACTGTTGAGGACCAAACTCATGCATGCTAGGCAGGTGCTCTACTACTGAGCTAAATCCCCACTAGGTGTGTATGTTTAACTAAACATAGTTGAACTTCAAAGTTGCCTAATTTAACCTACTGTGGCACTGCACACCTGTAATCCCAACTACTTGAGAGACTGAGGCAGGAGGATCACAAGTTTGAGGTCAAGCAGGACAACTTAGTGAGCCCTTGTCTCAAAATAAAATTTTATTTTTTGAGGTAATAAGGATTGAACTGAGTGTCTGTATACTTAGCTATATCCCCAACCCATTTTTGCTTTTGTTTGACACAGGGATTGGCTAAGTGGCTAAAATGCCCAAGCTGGATCTGAACTTGTGACTCTCTACCTCAGGCTCCCAGAGTGCTGGAATTATAGGTGTGTACCACAACACCTGGATTGTAATTGTTTTTCTTTTGCAATAATGGAGAGTGAACCCAAGGTCTCATGTGTGCTACACAAATGCCTTACCACCAAACTCCACCCTCAGCCCACTATCTTGCTACTTATCTGTTTGTTCGTTTGTACCGGGGATCGAACTTGGGCCCTTGCACTTGTGAGGCAGGCGGCTGAACCACTGAGCCAAATCCCTGGCTCTTGCTACTTATCTGTTACTTTATGCAAATAACCAAGTAGATGCTAGAGTATGGGCTTTTACTATATGATCTCATTTAGCCATTAAGGGAGGACATAAATAAACTGAACTAGGAATTTGAAATCCAGAGCCTCCACAGTCTAAGGAAATTACACTAAAAGTTTGTTATGTGAGGCCATCATAGGTGTTACCAATCAACAAACTACTTTACCCAAAATATTAGCTTACCTCATTTGTGACCTTTGCTCCAAAAAGCCAACCTGCTCCTCGAGGACTAATTGCCCAAGTATCTACATCTTCAGGATCTGACCAAACCAGGTCACAAAATGCTCCTTTATGAGGAATTTCTTGGTTCCGTTCAATGGTTCGAATTTGATCCAGTGTTTTGATATCAGGAGATAAACCACCATGAACACACAAAATTTGCTCATCTATTAACTAGTTAAAAAAAAAAAGATAATAAAGAACTGACTGTATAAAAACAAACTCAGCCATTTCTAAATTCATCAATGAATGCAAAAGATAGCATTATCATTGAGATGACAATTAGATAAAAGTATAGGCAGGAAATACTTAAGTTTTAAGAAGATTCATATAAACTTACAGCTGCTACTGTGAGCATGTCAAAAACTTTGGTACAGTATCTCCAAGCATTAGCATTTCCATATTTGGTTTGGCACTCATCTATGAAAGAAATGGTAGTATTCTCATTAATGAAGTTCTAAATTTGCCAACCAAAACAAATGTATCCAATACTAAAACAGCTTTTGATCGAACAGAAATTCAGCTTAAACTAGAACAGAAAACTATGACACACATTTAGGCTTAATAGGTCCTTCATATAAAGCCAAAAGATGTCTAGTGTCTCACTAGAAATATAAATCTTTTCATTGCAAAAATGACCTTAAGATGTAGCTGAAATTATCTGCCAAAATGCACTCAGATCAGGAAGAATAAACTACTAATTTCACACAAACCAAGCAAATGCTTTTAGTGGTTAACACTAGTTAATTTTACCAAACAAATTCACTTACTTAATGTTACTGTCATATTCCAACAGAATAATAAAATCAAACATTATAGGACATTTAATTACAGGAGCATGAGTAATTCCTATCTCAATATTTCTCAGTCTTAAATTATCTAAGATTTTCTGTCAATTGTGTCACTAAGTACTATTTTATATATAAACACTATAAAAAAAATGAATGAATATATATATATATATATACACACACACATATATAGTGTTATACAGATAGATAGATTTGCATATTCCAAAACATCTAAAGTCAGAAATGCTTCAAATTATGCTTGAGCATGAAGATCATGTCTCACAAGGAAAATTCTACACCTGACCTCATGTGACAGGTCTCAATCAAAATGCATGCACACTAGGCTGGGCGTGGTGGCTCATGCCTGTAATTCCAGCACTCAGGAGGCTGAGGCAGGAGGACTGCTGTGAGTTCAACAACAGCCTGGGCTACCCAGTGAGTTCCAGGTCAGTCTCAACTACATAATGAGACCCTGTCTCAAAAAAAAAAAAAACACGCATGTGCACTAAAAATATAGGCTGCTATCTCTTTACAGAAATGTTTACAAGACTGAAGCAGGAGGATCATAAATTCAAGGCTATATGGGCTACAGAGCTAGTCTGAGCTACACAGCAAGACTCTGTCTCAAAAACTAAAATAAGAAAAGAAGCGCTTGCAAGTAGAAGTATTTGTTTTTTTGCAAGGCAGGTGATGGAACCACTGAGATAAATCCCTGGCCCCTGGATTTTGGAATATTTGCAAAGATTTACTAATTGAGAATGCCTAACCTAAAAATCCAAAATCCAGGATGCTTCCAAATCTGAAATTTCTGAATGTCAAAAATGCTCCAAAATTCAAAACTCTTTGAGTGTCATGATGGAACTCCAAGTCTCAGATTTTGGGAGCTGATGATTCTGATTTTCAAGAAAGAGCTGCTTGACTTCTTGACTTCTATCCTAGGCTAGAGGCACAAAGTATATATGAAACATTAATAAACTCTGTGTTTAGAACTGGATCTCATCCTCAACATGTGTAAACATTCCGAAATTCAAAAAAATTCAAAATCCCAAAACACTTCCTGGTATCAAGTATTTTGGATAAGGGATACTTGATCTGAACATTATGTTTCAGTTTTATATGTGTTATATTAGCCTTGTAAAAAATTACATTTTAGGGCCAGGGATTTTGCTCAGTGGCAAGGTCCTGAGTTAGATTTCCAGTACAAAAAAAAAAAAAAATCACATTTTACATAACTTTTTTTTTTAGATTGGGTCTCACTATGTAGTTCAGGCTGACCCTGAACTCACTACATAGCCTGGGCTGGCCTCAAACTCACAGTTATCCTCCTGCCTCAGCCTCCCAAGTGCTGGGATTAAACGTCTGTGCTAGCACACCCAACCTATTTAACATTATATTACAGATATAATAGTCATATACAGTCATCCACTGCCAACACTTCAATCAATGACAAAGCACATATATAATGGAGGTCCTATAAGATTATATCATCTTATTTATTTATTTATTTATTTAGGTAACAGGGATCAAACTCGGGCCCTGGCAATTGTGAGGCTGGCGGAGGAACCACTGAGCTAAATCTCTGGCCCTCATCATCTTATTCTGTAGGCATTCTAATCTGTGCAAGTACACCCTAAAATGTGCACATAATGAAATCACCTGATGATACATTTCTCAGAATTTATAGTAAGTACATACTAGTGTTACTTTACTGAGCTAACATCACAGTATACTATCCAAATTACTGATTATTTTGTAAAAGAGCCAATAACTTTTTACAAATTAAAAAAAGTCAGAAGTAACTTGTAGTCATGGGCATGGCAGCATACACCTATAATCCCAGCACTTTGGAAGAATGAAGTGGGAAGGTCACTGCAAGTTCGAGGCCAGATGGGAACACATAGTGAGTTTAAGGCCAGCCTGAACTAAACAGTGAGATCTGTCTCAAACTAAATAAATAAATATGAAAACAAAAAAACAAAAAGCAACTCGATGTCCAAAGGGACTAGTTATTATTAGGTACACACACACACACACACACAGACACTAGAGCCTGGAATGAGCTCTCAAACTTGGATGTGCAGTACATTCACTGTTGGTAGATCCTAGTGTTTTGATTATTGAGTTTGAGGAAAGACCCAGCAATCTACTTCTTCTTTTTTTTTTTTTTTTTGGTACTACGGATCAAACTCAGAACCTTGTGCTCATGAGGCAGGTGGTGGAACCACTGAGCTACATCCCCAGCCCTGAACCAATCTACATTTTTAACAAGCACTTGGGCAGGGGATGTAGCTCAGTGGCACCATGGCTGCCTCGCACAAAGTCCTGAGTTCAATCCCTGGTACCAAAAAAAAAACAAAAACAACCACTAGGTAATTCCAATGTTGCAAGTGTAGGTTTACACTTTGTCACACTGATTTTGAAAGATATACACCAAAAAGTTGACAATGGTCTTCTCTCTATGGGAAGATTTTCAGTTGATAAAATGGGCAAATTAAAGAGTAGTCAAATAGGGAGAAAAAAATATAAAGTACCAGTATGTCTCATGCAAATTTTTTCAAAAAGAAAATAAAATATTCAGAATTAGAAATAGAAGATCTTACCATAAAATCCATACACCTGTGTTATCTGTCTACTTTCATGATTTCCTCGTAAAAGTGTAATACGGTCAGGCCATTTAGCCTTTAGTGCAAGAAGATAAGTGAAGGTCTCCAAACTATAGTAACCTCTGTCTACAAAATCACCCTGTAGTGCAAAAGTTTACAGTTACAAATAATACAGTAGCTACAACAGTTTTTTAAAATCATATTAAAGCACATAATCTCAGAGACACAGCCAAATAAAAACAATGAAGACTTACACATTAAATTACTGTATGTGTAAATTACATTTTAATGAAAACTCAAATGGAGCCAGATGTGGTGCACACCTGTAATCCCAGCACTTCAGGAGGTTGAGGCAAGAGACTTTGGAGTTTGAGCCCATCGTGGGCAATCTAATGGCACTCTTTCACAAAAAAAAAAAAAAAAAAAAAAAAAGGGTGGGGATGTAGCTTGGTGTAAAAGCCCTAAGTTGAATCCTCAGTCCCCACTGGAAAAATGACAACAAAAACAACAATAACAATCTTAAAGTATATAAACTTTCTACTAAATGTTTGCATTTCACTTATGATTCAGAAGAGTCCTGGGCCAGAAATATACTCAACAGTGCAGCACCTGCCTGGCTAGCTTGAGGCTCTGAGTCCAATTCCCAATACCAAAAAAAAGAGTACTGTTAATGTCTGAAATTTATATTTGCACCAGGGATGATGTAGCTCAGTGACTCGGTGCCTGCCTGGCAAGTGCAAGGTCCTGAGTTCAATCCCTGGTACAGGAAGGGGG